TAGAAGAAAGCCGTCGGAAGACACCTGGCGCAGCGAAAGAAGATCGTATAAGCCAATGATCTATACCCGAAGCAGTCGGAGGCTCGCATCCGAAGCGATGCATCAGCTTGGTTGCGTGCCATTTGTTATTACTTGCATCGCTCCGCGGTGGACTGTGGGCAAAAACAGGGTGGCGATCTCTCAAGCGATCATCAGCATGTTGAAAGCAGTTTCATTATTCATCGATCCGTCGCGTCGCGGGGACACCGGCCGGGCCGAATAGGTGGCCTGCACTTAATGATTCAGCTCGGAGAACCTTGGTTCTCGCTGGAATCTAACTAAAAAGATGTAAATACACGTTTTCGAGGACACTCGACCCGGTCCCAGTTTCGTCTCAAACGAAACTAATCGTCGCAGAGCGAAATCTGTCGTTAACACGTTCCGTGCCGAGCTTTTTTTACTCGAATCTTCACACTTTGATATTTTACTAAAACTTGATGTATTACGTGCAATTATTAATTCTCGTACACATAACAACGTAACAAAAACTTATCAACGCCCATTCTTGCGGTGGAAATTGATTCTTCGGTTCTAAATTTCTTGTAAACAATTTGTTCAGTTCACTAAGTAAACATGCAAGCGTGTACCATCGATGGTACACGTGGCACGGAACGTGTTAACCAAATAGGGGAACAAATGGGCAAGTCGCTTTTAAGCAAATTTTAATTAATCTGATCTGTGTCGATCGTTGTTTAAAGTACACTCATATACGAAAGTATTCGAACGCTTACGTTTCTAACATTCAATTGATAAAATATATGTGTTAAACAGAAGCATTTGTTATAATATGACACATATAACAAGGGATGGGTCTTAAGACTGCGTAAGCAAAATTAGAAAATAATTCAACGATATATAGCGTTTTTAGAGTACATTTATTGTAAACACGTACCAGAAATGGCTCACAAAAGTATTCGAACGAAACAATTAACAGTTATTTAAATTGAACGATTAAAGGTTTTAATAGGAAGTTGATCCACCTTTTGCTTTTATAACAGCCCTAAGTCTGTTTTCCATCGAGTGGACCAACTTAGAAGTAACATTTGCATTTATCGATGGCCATATTTCAATAATATTTCGTTTTAAAGCTTCTTTCGAAGTAATAACCGTATTTCTTAATCGTCTTTCCACTTCATCCCATGAATGTTCAATGGGGTTTAAATCGGGACTTTGCGGTGGATGTGGCAACACGTGTGGAACATTATACAATACCCATTCTTTGACTATTTTAGCGGTATGCTTCGGATCATTGCCAGACCGAAACCAATAATCGCTAGATAAATTCAATTTTGATACACTGCTTTTTAAATTTTCCTGCAAAATTTTTGAGCATTCCGTTTTGTTCATTATTCCATCGATGAACACAAGGTTTCCCACTCCACTAAGATTTTACATCACAAAAAGTGCATGTTTCATTGATCGTCGTATGTATACTTTCTTTTGGTGAATGTTCGCAATATTTTTGGATATGCCGTAGTTCTCACGAGAAAGTTTTAACTAAATAACAATTTAATAACGAGTATAATCGTCATTGTCTAAACGTCATTTATCTATGTCGCCACGATTGAAATTGATGTTTAACAATTTATCAAGACGTTTCGAAACATCAATCAGTAATTTGCGATAATTTCAAGAAAAACAGAACAGAAATCAATTGCTTGCTCGAGAAATTGTCCGTTTTCATTCGATGTGAAATATTAACTAAAATAAAGGCGACTCGCAATTAAAACGGTATCGTAAAGTATACGAGCGATAATTCAGAATATACAGGAGAACAATTTGTCCGGTTAAACCGTTAAAAGGAAGCTTTAAAAAACGACTAACCACCGTATGTTTGATCTTAAAATTACATGCACGATTGGTATTATTTAAACCATAATCTCGGATCCCTGATCGTTGAAGAAAACGGTAAGCATTAGCACGATAATTCATGGTTAATTTAACGAATCGCAAACCCCGAGCCGATAACGATCTCAGCCGAGGCAAAAAGCAGGGATAATAGATGCACAATGCGCCGTAATATCGAAATATCGGAATTAACGACCGATTCATGGGTGTGTTAGCCGGTGATAATCGATTTCCCGTTTTATGGCCGCCAGTCGTAAACCTGTGTCACTGGAACCGTGGAAAGGTAGTGCCTCTGCCAGTGGCTTTCTACCGATTACGTGCACAACCTTACGTTCTTTATCGTTCTCCTAACGCCATCCCGCCGACTACAGTTTTAATTTGCAAAGCCCAAGTAGTTAACCAGCATGCTAATATTCTTATGATTTTTGTATCGTTACGTCTGCACCGCGGTTTTTCATGTTAATTGTCTAAAGAGACGACGAATGATGCGAGGCTGTTTAAAATTCTATGGGGTGCTGTATTCCATTAACTTCTTTAACATACTTATCGGCCATAAATTTATAACTTCTGCAATCTGTCAGGACATTTTTCTCGCAAGGGTAATACAGTATTTTAAACAAATGACACAGATCGCGCGCCAATGTATATACATGAGGAGAGATAAAGCAGCGGTCGAATGGTGTTCGTAAAAATAATGGAACGACACCAGAGATTAGATTTCAGATATTCATGTATTTATAACAAAAGGAATATTCGATTCGTCGAAGTTCTTGGAAAACATAAATTTTCCACTGACGTCAATTTCGAGAAATTGCGAACATTCATATTATCGGTAATCTTACTAACAAATGCAGTAACATTTAATTGACAAACGATACAGTATGGCTAATTAAAAATTACAGTGTGTATTTAGAGGAAACAATAACACGGAAAAGTCTGCTGACTTTGTCCTTGGTATTACACAACTAGAATATTTAGCAATGGAAGCATAATAATTATCGACTTATTTTCCTCGTAGAGTAACTTGAAACCTTGTGTTTTTTTTATCTCAACAGGAAAATGGATTACAGATCCACTAATTATTATACACAGTTGATACTTTCGCAAGGTTAGCAATATTTACGCAGCTTTAACATCATCCTACTGTTAATATTTATCTATGCGACTGCAAGAGATATTTTTTTGGGACATGTTTATGTTTGTCGATCTGTATCTTATCTCAGAAAATGCAACAAGGCTCTTAATCCGTTCACTAACAACTATAAGATATCTCGTGATAGACGACCCACCACGACGACGTTTATGGTTCATTACTGTCAAAAAGAGATTTATTTATTACTTTTTAGTTATTCTTATTTTTTAGATATTATCATTTTTTGCTTATTATTATTTATTTATTTTTAAAAAAATGTTGACGTCTAGACAAGATTTCTCCAAAATAGGCTCCAAAATAGGAGCCTATTTATACGTGTTTATACACGTTCATATTTGCAGTCTGCAAACAATTTAACGCTGGATTTATTCATCAATTTATTTTCGGTATCCAATAAAACACATTTTGTTTAGAACATATCTCTGCTGTGATAATGTTCGTATAAATTGTTTATTTCACAAATCAATTTATAACGTGTTTATACACGTTCATATTTGCAGTCTGCAAACAATTTAACGTTGGATTTATTCATCAATTTATTTGCGGTATCCAATTGAATACATTTTGTTTAGAACATATCTCTGCTGTAATAATTTTCGTACAAATTGTTTATTTCACAAATCAATTTATAACGTGTTTATACACGTTCATATTTGCAGTCTGCAAACAATTTAACGTTGGATTTATTCATCAATTTATTTGCGGTATCCAATTGAATACATTTTGTTTAGAACATATCTCTGCTGTAATAATTTTCGTACAAATTGTTTATTTCACAAATCAATTTATAACGTGTTTATACACGTTCATATTTGCAGTCTGCAAACAATTTAACGTTGGATTTATTCATCAATTTATTTGCGGTATCCAATTGAATACATTTTGTTTAGAACATGTCTCTGCTGTAATAATTTTCGTACAAATTGTTTATTTCACAAATCAATTTATAACGTGTTTATACACGTTCATATTTGCAGTCTACAAACAATTTAACGCTGAATTTATTCATCAATTTATTTACGGTATCCAATTGAATACATTTTGTTTAGAACATGTCTCTGCTGTAATAATTTTCGTACAAATTGTTTATTTCACAAATCAATTTATAACGTGTTTATACACGTTCATATTTGCAGTCTACAAACAATTTAACGCTGAATTTATTCATCAATTTATTTACGGTATCCAATTAAATACATTTTGTTTAGAACATATCTCTGCTGTGATAATGTTCGTAGAAATTGTTTATTTCACAAATCGTTCGTTGAGAAATATTTTACATGCACCACCCGCAGATCTTGTAACATCGAACCCTGCACAGTCAACAGGTTCAAAAAAAGAAATCGTCACTTTCCAAAATATATGTTGCAAATCAACGTTCAACAATTCCAGTATCGATCGATGTCAAGCCACGTGTATAACACTAAACACTAATACTTTCGCGGTCAAATAACCGGTTCGGCAATTTTTATTCTACAATTATTGAAATTATAAAGATACTTTCACCGGAAATCATTAAATAAATTTCTTCATTCGGACACACGGTAATATGAAACCTGCAAAAGATCTAAATAGTAATCGAAACGTAAATCGTCGCAACGCATGCCAGTCGCTTTTAGCGCACCGCGCGGTTAGTGTTAAATAATTGACTAATTAGCAGAAATTTCACGGCACACACAGCGATTAGATAAATTACGAAGGCTCCGTGTATTGTTTGAACAGTTGATAGAAGGACTGTCGTCAGAATGTAAATGAATACGAACCAGGAAAATAATAGCGAGACAGCGATTTCCGTTTCTTTCCTCGGACCCACTTTCGTCATCGAGGTTATCAGGCGCCCGTCTATATGCGGTGTAGGATTTTCCCAAGTTGTTCACATTGCTGGCATGACTCACGGCTTGTAGAGTGACTCCAGTATGAGGTTCACACTCTTGCGATTCGCGATCGTTGTGCACGATATATATCGGCGAGTTTGCTCGACGACTGCTGTTCGGCTGGTCCTCTCGCGGATGACAGTCGTCCTTTCGTAGTGCAGAGTACTCGCTGATTTTTCGTCCACGGTGACAGTACAGGTACCAAGAGACTGGTTTGCATTTTTTTTTATCGAAATAATTGCACAGAACTCGCAGTCTGATATTTTCGTTTCTTCTTTTAACCCGAGAAAGATAACCTACGTCGCAGAGGCGCCTGCGAAGACTGTTGATTTTTGTTAATTTTTCATAGAGGTCTAGTGATTTAAGTTTAAAATTACTTAAAATATCAAAAAATATAATATAAATGCATTTTATTTTTACGATAATGCCAAACCTTTAAAATAACTAGATTAACTTAAATAAATATCCATTGTTAGTATAAAATTGACGCCTTAGAAAAGCATGCGCCTCTGAAGCGTATGGTTATCTTTTACGTACGTTGTCATATGGTTATCTTTCTAGGGTTAATAAAATTAACAAAAGTTAATCTTACAAAAGTTCAGTGGTTTACGCAGTGAAAAAGGATTCTGTTGCCAACTCTCTGTCCGCCACAGTGCAGATAAATAACTGGTATTTTCGTAACCGATTGTTGTAGGTGCGAGGAACGAACGTTGTCAAGATGAAGCATCTCTTAGCACTGTCTCTTCTGTTGTTGTCGTCGGAATGTTTTGGACAACCAGCTCCTGTGGTTCATACGAATTCAGGACCCGTGCGGGGCGAGGTGAAAGAGACGTTTTTGTTGAAGAAGAAATACTTGTCGTTCAGAGGAATCCCTTATGCGAAACCACCTCTTGGAGATCTCAGATATCAGGTACAGTTCTGTCATGGTTTCATTCAAATTCTAGAATATAACTTCCATCGTTGTACTCCGATCTTCGAAACGAATTCGATGATGAAATGATTCGAACTCTCCTGTTTGTTCACATATTCTCCATTAAGAACGTTATTCAGAAATTGTGCATTTCTGTCACCTTTTGTTCGATTATTATATTCCATTAAGGACCTTATTCAGAAATTGTGCATTTCTGTCACCTTTTGTTCGATTACTATATTCCATTAAGAATCTTATTTAGAAATTCTGCATTTCTGTCACCTTTTGTTCACGATTATTATATTCCATTAAGAACCTTATTCAGAAATTCTGCATTTCTGTCACCTTCTGTTCGATTATTATATTCCATTAAGAACCTTATTCAGAAATCCTGCATTTTTGTCATCTTTTGTTCGATTATTATATTCCATTAAGAACCTTATTCAGAAATTCTGCATTTCTGTCACCTTTTGTTCGCGATTATTATATTCCATTAAGAACCTTATTCAGAAATTCTGCATTTCTGTCACCTTTTGTTCGCGATTATTATATTCCATTAAGAACCTTATTCAGAAATTCTGCATTTCTGTCAGCTTTTGTTCGATTATTATATGCATGCATATATTGTGCGATATATTTGTGCATTCCATTTATAATAATCTTAAAATAAAATTTGTAATTCTAATAAAACACAATTTTTAACTCTAATAAAATACAATTTTTAATTTCAATGAAATAAAATTTTGTATTTTAATAAAATAAAATATTTAGTTTAAAATGCAACTCGGACACAGACGAACGTTTTCTATGAAGAAATCTTGGAACGAATTCGCACAATTTATTCGAGAAAACCATCTGTGAAGGATCCATCCATCAATAGGATATAATCATGACCGTAGCCATTTGAATTGGAAGTGTATAATAAACAGTAGCCAGGGGATTGACACTGTCACCGCTGTTATTAATTGTCTATTGTGACCACAGCCGCCTGTGCCAGCAGAACCATGGCAGGAAATTCTGAATGCTACCAAGGACGCACCTGCGTGCCCGCAAATAGACGAAGTAAACAATAACAGATACGTGGGGGATGAAGACTGCTTGTACATCAATGTATTCAGCCCTATCGTAAGTATAATTGCCGCACAATCAACGTGAAACTTAATTTTATAGAGAACCGAAGTTCATTCGTTCATACTTCGCGTGAACATGCAACATTTAGCCAGAAACGATTTTTAAAGATTTCTACTTCTTATGAAACAGACTTCGTCCAAAACGCATGTACACAAGAAAGCAGTGATGTTGTGGATCTACGGTGGATCCTTCAATGCAGGATCATCTCTGACTAGTTTCTACGGTCCAGACATGCTGGTAGATCAGGACATAGTACTGGTTACCTTTAATTACCGTCTTGGCGCCCTCGGTAATTAACAGATCTGAGATATTTTATATCCTTTAAAGTTAGCTTTCGAAAGTCAATCTTTTATTTGGTCAGAGTCTTGGATAAATATTACATTTCTAATGTTTATCAAATTTGTTTCCTTTTCTTTTATTCTCTTCTTAACAGTTTATTGGATTATATTGGATTATATCATCCGTATATAATAAATAGTAACAATAATAACAGCGAAATAATTATTTCTATTTTAGAATTTCATTTGTGATGTTTATTAAATTTGTTTCCTTTTCTTTTATTCTCTTTTTAACAGTTTATTGGGTTATACTGGATTATATCATCCGTATATAATAAATAGTAACAATAATAACAGCGAAATAATTATTTCTATTTTAGTATTACATTTGTGATATTGATTAAATTTGTTTCCTTTTCTTTTACTATCTCTTTAACAGTTTATTGTGTTATACTGGATTATATCATCCGTATATAATAAATACTAACAATAATAACAGCGAAATAATTATTTCTATTTTAGTATTACATTTGTGATATTGATTAAATTTGTTTCCTTTTCTTTTACTATCTCTTTAACAGTTTATTGTGTTATACTGGATTATATCATCCGTATATAATAAATACTAACAATAATAACAGCGAAATAATTATTTCAATTTTAGGATTCCTGTCTCTGTCCCGAAGCGAGGCGTTAGGAAACGCTGGAATGAAGGATCAAGTTCTGGCTATGCATTGGGTGCAGCAGAACATCGCCAAGTTTGGCGGTGACCCGAGGCGAGTGACAATTTTCGGCGAGAGCGCCGGCAGCGCAGCTATTCATTTCCAAGTACTGTCGCCGTTGACTAAAGGTATGACAGCGTCTGCATAATTAACCCATTAACGCCCAAAATGAAACTGCAGTTTTTCTATTTATTAGTCCATAAGGGATAAACTATGCTATATAAGAAGATAAAATGAAAAAAATATATTTACATATCAAGTTTTAGGGGTGTACTCAGCCGTGTACAATGGGCGCTTTAGGAGTGAAATTGTTTGAAACAAGGTCGTTCAAAATACATAATTTATCGATTAAGTAGTTGTACCTGTGCAGGTACAGAGGGCGGTAATGGGTTAAGTCATCCCATAACAGAGGAATTACAACAAAAAAACCTGCGAAAATGAATAGACAGACTCCGCATCGATCTCTCTATCCAAAGTTGCTATTTTCTTCCGAATCAGGATTGTACGTGAGAGCAATCGCCATGAGCGGCTCGTCCATATCGCCATGGGCGTTCCATACAGCCGACCAGGCTATGAACGAAGCGAAAAAGCTGGCTAATTATCTCGGTAGCAATGCACAGGACTCGGATGCATTGTGGCAATTCTACAAGAATGCACCTGCCAAGGACCTCGTAAACGGCAGTCAGTACATGGACGGAGTCACGCAAACGGTACTATAGCTATTCCAACTAATGTAATGAACGACGAACAAGCTTCTTTTTCATAAGAATCAAGAAATTCGGGTTTCGGTTAAATGAAAGTCAAGTTCGTTAAACTGTCTTGGAAATTCCAGCTGACTATACCGTTCAGACCATCTATAGAGTTGAACCGTCCGGGAGCTTTCATCACCGACTGCCCCATCTCGCTGTACAAGACCGGGAGATTCAATAAAGTGCCCCTTATGATGGGTCAGACCAAGGAAGAAGCACTCGGCTTCACCAGACGTGAGTAATCTTTCTTCTGCAAAATGAGAATCACGAGATATGCGGGACAACGCAATTGCATATTTTATCGAGTTCGCATGTTGCAGCTGGATACACCGGTACGAACGACACGTGGACAGAATTCGACGGACTGATAGACATTGGAAAGGATGTGTTCGACAGGTTCGCGAAAGGCAGTTACGATGTGGTAAGTAGTTTGAATTTTTTTAAGTTTTTCTTTGAATTACTGGCCTGTGGATCTTTGTGCAAAATAACAATTTCCTAGATCGATTGCAAGAACCGGAAATTGAGTAAAAATAAATTGTTCCCTTCAATAATTCTGTTAACACTATGCCGTCCGCAGATCTTAGATATGATTCTTTTGTTTGACGCCGGCATAATAGCTTGGAAATTTTAGATTTGAAAAAAAATTTCGAAGATGGCGGTAATATAAATTCCTAAAATTAAGATATGTCATCCAAGAATTTTCGTACTTAATTCTTAGTTAAATAAGCACGATGCTATAGTTAGTTTGCTGCCTTTTAACACCCAAGAAATATAGTTCAAATGTTATTTCAGTTTTTTAAAATGGCATCAAAGTGGTACCAACGGCATACAACAGATAGTTTTTGCATGGCACCAGCGTGGTGCCACCGGACGGCAGAGTGTTAAAAACAAGATATCTTCGCAGTTTTATATTTTATCTACACATTTTTGTCGTAAATGTATAAAGCCTGCGGTCTATTTATTGCACAGTCGTACTGTGAAACTTGAAGATGTTAACACGTTCAATGCCACGTTGGTCACATATGGGTACCGGTATTTGTTTGAGAAGTTTCCAAAATTCATTCTTATTGTAATATATCCGAAGAAACTGTTTTGGGGTTTAGGATGCGAAAGAGTGAAAATTTTCATCTATTGTAATAAATTTCAATCGTCTAGATTCAGTTTCATTATTAAAATTTCGTAGATTTTGTGAGAGCTTTTTACAGATGATTTTATACTTTGTAGTTGAACTTTACAGGGAACTTTGCAGAAGAAACTGTTTTGGGGTTTAGGATGCAAAAAAGTGAAAATTTTCATCTATTGTAATAAATTTCAATCGTCTAGATTCAGTTTCATTATTAAAATTTCATAGATTTTGTGAGAGCTTTACAGATGATTTTATACTTTGTAGTTGAACTATACAGGGAAATTTGCAGAAGAAACTGTTTTGGGGTTTAGAATGCAAAAAAGTGAAAATTTTCATCTACTGTAATAAATTTCAATCGTCTAGATTCAGTTTCATTATTAAAATTTCATAGATTTTGTGAGAGCTTTACAGATGATTTTATACTTTGTAGTTGAACTATACAGGGAAATTTGCAGAAGAAACTGTTTTGGGGTTTAGAATGCAAAAAAGTGAAAATTTTCATCTACTGTAATAAATTTCAATCGTCTAGATTCAGTTTCATTATTAAAATTTCATAGATTTTGTGAGAGCTTTACAGATGATTTTATACTTTGTAGTTGAACTATACAGGGAAATTTGCAGAAGAAACTGTTTTGGGGTTTAGAATGCAAAAAAGTGAAAATTTTCATCTACTGTAATAAATTTCAATCGTCTAGATTCAGTTTCATTATTAAAATTTCATAGATTTTGTGAGAGCTTTACAGATGATTTTATACTTTGTAGTTGAACTATACAGGGAAATTTGCAGAAGAAACTGTTTTGGGGTTTAGAATGCAAAAAAGTGAAAATTTTCATCTACTGTAATAAATTTCAATCGTCTAGATTCAGTTTCATTATTAAAATTTCATAGATTTTGTGAGAGCTTTACAGATGATTTTATACTTTGTAGTTGAACTATACAGGGAAATTTGCAGAAGAAACTGTTTTGGGGTTTAGAATGCAAAAAAGTGAAAATTTTCATCTACTGTAATAAATTTCAATCGTCTAGATTCAGTTTCATTATTAAAATTTCATAGATTTTGTGAGAGCTTTACAGATGATTTTATACTTTGTAGTTGAACTATACAGGGAAATTTGCAGAAGAAACTGTTTTGGGGTTTAGAATGCAAAAAAGTGAAAATTTTCATCTACTGTAATAAATTTCAATCGTCTAGATTCAGTTTCATTATTAAAATTTCATAGATTTTGTGAGAGCTTTACAGATGATTTTATACTTTGTAGTTGAACTATACAGGGAAATTTGCAGAAGAAACTGTTTTGGGGTTTAGAATGCAAAAAAGTGAAAATTTTCATCTACTGTAATAAATTTCAATCGTCTAGATTCAGTTTCATTATTAAAATTTCATAGATTTTGTGAGAGCTTTACAGATGATTTTATACTTTGTAGTTGAACTATACAGGGAAATTTGCAGAAGAAACTGTTTTGGGGTTTAGAATGCAAAAAAGTGAAAATTTTCATCTACTGTAATAAATTTCAATCGTCTAGATTCAGTTTCATTATTAAAATTTCATAGATTTTGTGAGAGCTTTACAGATGATTTTATACTTTGTAGTTGAACTATACAGGGAAATTTGCAGAAGAAACTGTTTTGGGGTTTAGAATGCAAAAAAGTGAAAATTTTCATCTACTGTAATAAATTTCAATCGTCTAGATTCAGTTTCATTATTAAAATTTCATAGATTTTGTGAGAGCTTTACAGATGATTTTATACTTTGTAGTTGAACTATACAGGGAAATTTGCAGAAGAAACTGTTTTGGGGTTTAGAATGCAAAAAAGTGAAAATTTTCATCTACTGTAATAAATTTCAATCGTCTAGATTCAGTTTCATTATTAAAATTTCATAGATTTTGTGAGAGCTTTACAGATGATTTTATACTTTGTAGTTGAACTATACAGGGAAATTTGCAGAAGAAACTGTTTTGGGGTTTAGAATGCAAAAAAGTGAAAATTTTCATCTACTGTAATAAATTTCAATCGTCTAGATTCAGTTTCATTATTAAAATTTCATAGATTTTGTGAGAGCTTTACAGATGATTTTATACTTTGTAGTTGAACTATACAGGGAAATTTGCAGAAGAAACTGTTTTGGGGTTTAGAATGCAAAAAAGTGAAAATTTTCATCTACTGTAATAAATTTCAATCGTCTAGATTCAGTTTCATTATTAAAATTTCATAGATTTTGTGAGAGCTTTACAGATGATTTTATACTTTGTAGTTGAACTATACAGGGAAATTTGCAGAAGAAACTGTTTTGGGGTTTAGAATGCAAAAAAGTGAAAATTTTCATCTACTGTAATAAATTTCAATCGTCTAGATTCAGTTTCATTATTAAAATTTCATAGATTTTGTGAGAGCTTTACAGATGATTTTATACTTTGTAGTTGAACTATACAGGGAAATTTGCAGAAGAAACTGTTTTGGGGTTTAGAATGCAAAAAAGTGAAAATTTTCATCTACTGTAATAAATTTCAATCGTCTAGATTCAGTTTCATTATTAAAATTTCATAGATTTTGTGAGAGCTTTACAGATGATTTTATACTTTGTAGTTGAACTATACAGGGAAATTTGCAGAAGAAACTGTTTTGGGGTTTAGAATGCAAAAAAGTGAAAATTTTCATCTACTGTAATAAATTTCAATCGTCTAGATTCAGTTTCATTATTAAAATTTCATAGATTTTGTGAGAGCTTTACAGATGATTTTATACTTTGTAGTTGAACTATACAGGGAAATTTGCAGAAGAAACTGTTTTGGGGTTTAGAATGCAAAAAAGTGAAAATTTTCATCTACTGTAATAAATTTCAATCGTCTAGATTCAGTTTCATTATTAAAATTTCATAGATTTTGTGAGAGCTTTACAGATGATTTTATACTTTGTAGTTGAACTATACAGGGAAATTTGCAGAAGAAACTGTTTTGGGGTTTAGAATGCAAAAAAGTGAAAATTTTCATCTACTGTAATAAATTTCAATCGTCTAGATTCAGTTTCATTATTAAAATTTCATAGATTTTGTGAGAGCTTTACAGATGATTTTATACTTTGTAGTTGAACTATACAGGGAAATTTGCAGAAGAAACTGTTTTGGGGTTTAGAATGCAAAAAAGTGAAAATTTTCATCTACTGTAATAAATTTCAATCGTCTAGATTCAGTTTCATTATTAAAATTTCATAGATTTTGTGAGAGCTTTACAGATGATTTTATACTTTGTAGTTGAACTTCACAGGGAACTTTGCAGAAGAAACAATTTTGGGGTTTAGGATGCGAAAGAGTGAAAATTTTCATCTACTGTAATAAATTTCAATCGTCTAGATTCAGTTTCATTATTAAAATTTCATAGATTTTGTGAGAGCTTTACAGATGATTTTATACTTTGTAGTTGAACTTCACAGGGAACTTTGCAGAAGAAACAATTTTGGGGTTTAGGATGCGAAAGAGTGAAAATTTTCATCTGCTGTAATAAATTGTAATCGTCTAGATTCAGTTTCATTCTTAAAATTTCATAGATTTTGTGAGAGCTTTACATATGATTTCATACTTTGCAGTTGAACTTTGCAGTTGACATCATATTTACCACCATCTTTCTCTCTGTTTTCCAGTTTTTGACTGACTACTACTACACAGCACCCACAGACCTCACTCGCAAGATAATCAAGCAGCAAGATAGTAGCATACCGATCTATTCTTACATCTTCGAATTCGATTCTCCGTACGCGTGGCATAGACAAAATGGAGAAAACCTGAACGGTATGTTTAAAATATTTGTAGACGATTATGTGATAATGACGATTGCAACAGAAAATGATTTCTGAAACAGGAACTGCTCATGCCGACGATCTCCAGTACGTGTTTCACAATGAAATGACTCGCGAACCTACCGATCCCAACGATCCTGTCAACCTGTTCAGGAGAAAGGTGTCTGCGATGTGGGCTAACTTCGCGAAGTGCGGGTATGTTTATGGTCTATTCATTGCCAGTTGTCTTCGGTGAGAAACGTAGCCGTTCGTGGTCAAATGTCAACATAATTAAAATATCATTTTAATTCTGAAAGTGCAAGCATGTAATTTGATGACGTACATAGAAGAAGATCAAAATGTATTATTAATTTATTCCACTATTTAACTCTTTTAATCTCTCTATTTAAATCAAGTTCCCCGAGGAAAGCATTTCCTATGCTTTAAAAAATGCTCTTTCGCAAATGGTTAAGTAATGAATGAATACTGTAATATTAGTGTTCCACTTGTCTCTAGTGACGAAATTTTATAAATTACAGTCCAGCTTTGTCACAGTTTTCGAATGACAAATCTGTAATTCAAACGGAACAACTATAATTTTCTATTTGTTTTACAGAAATCCCACTCCACCACACTACAACCCATCGAATGTTGTCTGGGAAGAATCTGGACCCCGCGGACTACAAATGAACATCAACACCGAAGACAAAATTCAGCTACCGGACATATCTCCGCGAACTAGACAGATGGAAGACTATATGGAGCAGACGATCCCAGCAAAAACTGGATGTACACGAAGAAACAAATAGAAGGACACAAAGAATTACAGACACAAAACAGAACCTAATCTTCTGGTGGCAAGCATCGTTCTAATTAAATGGAACACGACTGTATTTATAGGACTGACTATCGAAATCTCATAAAAGAGAGCGCTTTAAATTTTTTTTTTAAATTTTGTTAGTTATTTTGTTAGAAATTTTGTTGGAAATTTTGTTAGAATTAGAAACTTTGTTTTACATTAATAAAAATACAAGTGCATTATTTTCCAGATTTTTGTATTCGCTTCCGTTCGTTCTCCAGAAAATTTTCATTTTTACACCGCGCAATTGTGACAATTGCAATCTCCAAGAGAGATGCCCGATTTATTGATCTCAGGTGTAACTGATAAGGGAGGAATGCATTCTTGAGATAGAAAAGTGGCAGCAAAGAAGAACATTTATATTTTTTAGCTGTATAATTTCTAGATTCTCTAAGTGTCCCAACCACGTTATACTGAACATCCTGCCGCAAAAAATTCATTTCCAGGCCTGATAAATAACACGTCACTCAATAAGTCTCCGGTCTGACACATATATGGCAACACTGTTGATAAACCCATACGATTTCTGGATAGTAGAATTCTTCAAACGATACATGTCAAAATTTCATGACATTTTGATGATTAGTTTACAAGGATTACAGTGATTTTAGTGACCCCAGTTTTGTAATTTTCAAAACAATGGTTAGAAAAGGATTTCGTGTATCGATTAAACATTGTTTTTTGATGGGGAAAAATACTGTTGAAGCCAAACAGTGGCTTAATAAGCGTTACGAAGACTCTGCACCAGGGAAATCAACTATTATCGACTGGTATGCTAAAATTAAACGCGGTCGTACAAACGACGATGATGCTGGACGCTCTGGTCGCCCAAAATCGGCAGTTGTTCCGGAAAACATAAAAAAATCCACAAAATAGTTTCGAAAGACCGTATAGTGAAATTGCGTGAGATAGCTGACCCCTTAACACGTTGACTGCCACGCGTATTTACAACAAAATCTCCTACAGGCCACCCGTGCCACTATAGGAAGCGTACGCTGTTAATTCATGTCTGTTTCTGTTCCTGCATGAACAGTTGGAATCTTTGCCGAGTACCGAATGGTATAACTTAAAATCTCTGCCCTTATTTGTTTTCAATAATGAAAAGAAATCGGATTTCCCGGAGGGAGAAGCATAAATAAAATTACATCGTCAGATTCTGATTTGGATACTGATAAATATAATCTTAGCGATAATGAATGTTATGAAGATACTATTGACGAGATTTTACGAGAATTGGTCATGGAAGAAGAAAGAAATGTTGATGATACTGAGGAAGCTACAGTTCAAATAAAAGATACGAAATGGACCGATCAGAGGCACGAGCATATCTGAAAAAACAAACAACTTTTTGTCCAAGCTGTCCTGATCAACCTCAACTTTGCAGAGAATGTTTTAATGTTGTACACTGCGAATAATATTTTTAATAAACCATTTTTATAAGAATTCAATAGTTTCATTACCTCCTGTAGAATATTTGTCGAAATATTTTCGGAAATCCTTTGTAAGTAGTCAAATCAGCGTCACCCGAATTACGGGTGACGCGGCCTGATGAGAACTTTTGTTGTCACCCGAATACGGGTGATGCGGCAGTCAACGTGTTAAAGATATCAGAAGATAGCGTGTTTACAATTTTACACAAAAATATGAGCATGTGTAAATTGCTTTCGAAGTGGATGCCGCGTTTGCTCGCACCGGATCAAAAACAACAACGTGTCGACGATTCGGAGCGTGGTTAAGCGATGGTTGAATTGAATGAATTACGCTTCGAATTGCTTCTCCACCCACCGTACTCTCCAGATCTAGCCTCCAGCGATTACTGGCATTTTGCAGACATTAAAAAGATGCTCCAGAGAAAGAAATTTGACTCAAATGCTGAAGCGATTGCCGAAACGGAGGCCTATTTTGAGAACAAAGACAAATCGTTCTACGAAAAAGGCATCGAAAAGTTAAAGGAGCGTTGAAACGAATCTATCACTCTTGAAGAAGAGTATGTTGACGAATAAAGTCGAATTTCTAAAAAAAATTCGTTTTTCTTAGCTACACCGGAGACTTATTGAGTGACGATGTGTTAATCCCGCCTCGGAGACGTGAGAAGTGGCACTCCGAACATTAATAATCCCATCATCGTCCGATGGATCCGTCGAGTCCAAAAGGCAACAACGTAAACGACGAGTGACAAGAAGAAAACAATGATCACCGGCGCAAAGACAATGCGGGACTGCCGGGTTTCTTTTCTGCTTCGGAGGCCGTCACCTGTTCCCTCGAAAGCGACGAGAAGAACGGTGTCACGAACGTCATTCCAGCGGCCCTATTTTTTATCGCGGCAGGAAAACCGGTCGCGAAAAAAATCGGGATGGAACGAGAAGTCGGCGCGGCGATCTTGAGCAACAGAGAGAACCCGCGCGATGTTTTACGCCGCTTTCGCAAGAACGGTCTGCACCGCGCCGTTTCGCTCCGCGCAACCCCGCACCGCCCCGCGCCGCACCGGCTGCCGTTTAACCGGCTTAATAATTGCGCTCCTTATACGTGACCGAAGATAATTGTTTTTGCATAATCGGGATGGCTCTCGATCCGCTCCGCGAGGAAAGAAATCGCCGCGCGACCGGCACGAGAGAAATGCGTCGAACGCGCGAAATTGCGCATTACGCAACGCCGCGCGCTCCGATCTACGACGCTGACACTCGAACGCCGCACCGCGGAAGAAGAAATCGAACCCGGGATGATTAAGCAATTACGCAACGCATTAATATATTGTTCGTCCGGTTAATTACCGGCTGGATACGTTCTCGGAGAAAGCAAGGCTCTCCCGGCCGGTCCGCGGATCTCGCTTTCGGGCAACGTGTCGCGGTTTTGGGGGGGGGGGGGGTCGCCGGTGATCGGAATTCGTGAAAAAAACTGGTTTTTCAATTGCATGTCCATTTGGAATCGACGGGATTCGAGAGCAACGCTAATGGCGGTCGTAAATGAATTTCTTGAATTGCTTCAATAAAATTGTTTTCATTACGAATGCTATAAATGCGTACAATTTATAGCGTGGTTTCGGTTAATTGAATGTTGAGGAGCGATTACGCGAGTCCGGAGAGTGTTGCTTAATGTCGAAATTTGTTTCACTTTCGAAAGAAGATGACTTCGTGCACAAGATTCATTTTCGCGTCTGAAACATTTTTAAACCGAAGGAAGAGGCACTGGTGTGTGCGCGTGGTTCAAGGTTGCAATTTGACGGACGATTTCAATTTCAGCTTGAAATCGATCGTAGGAAACGATGGTTTCAAGAAACGAGATTGTATAGTATGTCGCAAGATAACAATTTAATCTCGAAGCGCATCAAATATCGTCGAACTGGACCATCGTAACAATTTAATCTCAGGGTTTTAAATTAATTTAGTATTAACAGAAAACAGTGACAACGCAAAAGGGTTGGGAAGCTCGAATAGCCCCAACACTAAGTTATCGCTAGACTGCGGATATTTATGCAAAATCAATATTTATCAAGAATCAAGACTCGCTTCGGAACATTTTCTTTTCCTTAACCTTTTAGGTACGGCTGAATTCTGCGCGAGGCTATTTCTCTGGACGGCAGAGTCTGATATGTACTGTACAGAGTGTCTGTATATTCTCTGTTTGTATATTGTTAAGATACAGTTATATTGTTAACAGTTATATTGTTAAGATAAGTCTGTATATTGTAAATCGATGCGAAGACAAAAGAAGTGTGAAACAATGCATATGAAGACGATTATTTGATTCAAACGATGACCGAGTGAGCTACTAGATTAAGCCACTATAGTGGTGCGTCGTTCAGAGAGAT